AATAAAACTGCACAATAAAATAAACCCATTTAAGTACGGGGTATACAGGAGATCCTTAGCAGTAATTCTCTTTGTGTTTAAATAATAATCTCCACGTTGATCTCCTGTAAGGTTATTTGAACTTGCTTTATAGGACGTCTCTGCATTTTAAGTTTTGGCATGTTATTAAGTGATCTACTGAATTTGCTGTTATAAATCATTATAAGGTTCTTGAAACCGAATCTTATATAACCTAATAGAGCTGTAAATGTTAGATATTATTTATTTACATCATTTACTGTTGGCGTTTTATTTGAACACTCCAGCTAACATTAAAAAGAATGTAAATTCCTCGTTGCCAGATATAATGAAGGCATCGAATAAACCAAATGAAAACGGAGGCAAAAAAATTAAATAAATAAACAATTCAAGCGAAAATGAATAAACAATATACTAGTGATGTTACAGCAGATAGACGTTGTATTAATAGTGCAAAGTTTTTTTGCACAAATTGACAAATTGCAGGGTTGGGATGTGTAAATATCCTGTTGATATTTAGTAATCTTGCTGTATTTATCTTCTAAACGCACGATTGTTCCCGCATGGTAAATCGTTATGGTGTGTAGGCTATATTTTGGGTTCTGTTGATGGCTAATTAAAAATAAAAACCTTTCTAAAAATGTATGTGTTGTGTATATGTTATTGTTCATATTTTACAAGTGTTATTTCTACCCCTATGAAGATAACAAATACCAACAACAAATATAACAATAAAAGAATATATTATTTGTGCTCATATTCAGGCTAGAGTGTATAAAAGATCGTTTATTTCTGCAGTCCACCATGTATTGCTTTTATTAAAGTTTAACAGCTTACATCACACCGTTTTTAAACTGTATATTATTGTGTTTTTTTAATGTAAGTGCTTCTATTTACATCAGTGAGCGTTTGTTATAGTGCAGACACCGGCAGTCGAGTGAGAAGTTCGGGGGGCGTGGTTGATTTTACATAAAGCGTTTGGTTGGAAGCTCGACTCCGCTCATTATCGCGGCTCCTCCTCTGGCTCCATCAGACAGTCCTTCTGCGCATGTCTGGCTCCAATTTCAGCAGTCTTTTGCGACAGTTTGTGCCCGTCAAGCAGGCGTTTTGCCCTCAAGGCGTTCAATGGCAAAAGGGGCTGTCGCGTCGTCCATATTTTTTACAGTCATTGGTATCAGCCATGGAGATAGTAGTAGTGGCAGTATTATTATTAGTAATGAAATAATATATGTAAACATTTTTGCAGTCAAATAGACAAACATCGAAGGTTTTGTAATTGTTTAGATTTTTATTAATAATAATAACAACAACAATGACAACAACAATAACAACAATAATAATTAATATTAATAATAATAATATTACTAGTAATAATAATAATAATAATAATAATAATAATTATTATTATTATTATTATTATTATTATTATTATTATTATTATTATTAATCAAAATGATTACACAACCATTATTATTATTATTACTATTATTATTATTATTATTATTATTATTATTATTATTATTATAAATGAAAACTATTACAAAACCATTATTTTTATTTTATTATTTTTATTATTATTAATAATAATAATAATAATAATAATAATAATAATAATAATAATAATAATAATAATAATAATAATGATAATGTAGGTGCATGGTAAATTTTTAGTCACTGGCCTCTGGCAAAATAGTGTATGCCCTGCCTGTATCTTTATTGTACTTGGTAAAAAGATTGATACATGATTAGAATGACATTGATACAAATGATAAAGATAAGAAACATAACATACTCATTTTAAATAAGGTAAAAAGTTCATTCAAATACGGTATAATTAAATGCAGAACGGATTCAGCTTGAGTCTAAACTTCAAACTCTCCATCCAAGCTGTAAAATACAGATGAGTTGATCATTTATGTTGCTAGCGGATGAGAAAACCCCCTACAATCCACTCTCTGACCTCGCAGACAATAATATCCTCTGTGAGTGGGACGACAGCAACTGTGCAAAGCAGAAGATGCACTTCGAAACACCATTATGCTGGATAGAGATGCATTGGATGTGCTAATTCTGATAGGGAATAACACAATGAGTCATCCAACACATTGCAAAAAAAGAAAATAATAGCACGCCTCGGGCCTTTATCGATGTCATGCATATGCAAGTTGAGAAATTAGCAGATCAATGTGGCCCTCGCTAAGTGACCAACTCCTACCTCCTCAACCTTCAGGCTGATGGAGAATTCAAGCTGAACGACTAACAGAGACGGCCATTTGTCTTCTGCAGAGTCATTATCATTGGGTTCTGTTCACAGCATAGCAACGTCACTGCTTTGCCATTATATAAGATGTTTACTAACAGTTGTTTCATGGCTTGTGTAGATGTTAGTGTCTCCAATGCTCTGATCTAAGTAGAGGTGCTTCTGGCGTCAGGATTTGGGCTTTAGTGTTTACAGTATGTTCATAGAGTCTAATTTTGTATTAGTAATACTAATTAATCTTGAAAGAAGTCATTTTTAAGTAAATGTTTTATTTTATATAAGCTAAAAAAAAAAAAAAAAAAGATCAACTGAGGTCAATAGGGACATGGCAAAAAATGTGTGCATTATTTTGTACTGCCTCAGCAGCCTGTATTCCGTTATTTTGCTTATTCTGCTATTACCACATACAAACGTTTAAGTATAAAAATGTTGAATAGTGTTGAATGTTTTAATCACATTTTTATGTACATATTAACCACTTTAAAATGTTGTAATTTTATAATTTTGTTAAAATAAAACCAATATAACTTCAGTGCATCTGGAATATGTTTGGAAAGTACAAGGATTGCCGAATGACCCACAATGACCCAAAGCACATTGCCAAAATATCAATGAAGTAGCTTCACAACAACTCTGTAAATGTCTTTGCGTGGCCCAGCCAGAGCCCAGACATATATCCTATTGAACATCGCTGAAGAGATCTGAAAATAGCTTTTTTTTTAATCAAACCTGATAGAGCTTGAGAGGTACTGCAAAGAGGAATCGGCAAAAATTCTCAAAGACAGGTGTGCCAAGCTTGTGACATCATATTCAAAAAACCTGTAATTGCTGCCAAAGGTGCTTTCACAAAGTATTGAGCAAAGGCTTTGAATACTTACTTACATGTGATTTTTCAGGTTTTTTTTTATTTTTAATAAATTAGCAACAATTATCATTATATATATTTTTTTTACATTGTCATGGGGTACATTCCACATTGTCATAGTTATGGAGTATTGTGTGTAAAATTTTGAGGAAATAAATGAATTTGGACTATGGGGGAAACCAGAGCACTTGAAGGAAACCCACAAGAAACGGGGAGAACATGCAAACTTCAGACAGAAATGCCAACTGACCCAGCCGAGGTTCGGATTACTTTCTTGCTGTAAGGCGATTGTGCTACCCACTGTGCCACCTTGACGCCCCATTTCATATATATTTTTTTGTAAATTACAAAACACAAATAAATTCTGTATCGCTACCTTGAATGGCCATAATGGCCAAATTGACCACATGCATTTCAGTGTCTGCTTCTTTTTCCTATGCCTTTGAATACGTGTTCCTAGAAACAACTTAAACAGGGTATCCGCTGGGTCTTAAAGTCTTAAAATGTTTTACATTTCATAAACTAAATTTCTTAAATTCACAGATAAATTGTCTTTTAGGTCTTAAATCATTTTAAACAAGTCGTAATTTTCCTTTATGTAAAGCTACATATTCATCCAGTCACCAACAATACATCTCAATAACAACTAATACTATTACAGCTCATGTAAATGCATACATTTTGTTTACTTAAGTTTCCATTTTTAAAGTGTTTTTTTTTTTTGTATGTATACTACTTCTTAAACTAGTGTCTGCTTGTTTTGTTTTGTTCTGACATTCTTTTATATATATATATATATAAATATGTGGCTAAGAAATAACTTACTAGAATTAGTTTTTATTTTATTTTTATTTGACAAGACAAAAATTCTGCTGGGCCATTTAAACATTCCTTAGCGTTAAGCCCTATATAAGTCTAAAATATAATTCATTGTGGTCATAAAAAGGTCTTAAAAAGTGTTAAATTTGACTTGGTGAAACCTGCAGAAACCCTGCAAAACATCTTATAGCTAAAATATTACTAGACGTGGTCTAGTAACTCGAACACTATTAATATCCCAAAAAAATATATATTTGTTTAGGGTAGTGACTTCATAAAAGATGAGGACAGACATTCAATTTCTAATTTTAAAATACTAATAGAAGCTCCGAATGTAAATATGGCAAGGATTCAGTTCGGAGCATTCTTACATGAATGGTCAGAATGACTGCTATGGACGTTGTAGTAGTTATAGACATAATCTAGTAACCCGAACACATATATTACAAAAAAACAAACAAACAAACAAACAAACAAACAAACAAACAAACAAACAAACAAATGATGGCAGACATTCAACTTAAATAAAGTAAATACTGTATGATGTGACAAAAGTTTTAAGTATAATATGAAAGGTCAAAATGCTATCTATGGCCATTTTAAAAGTTATAGAAATCTGATAGTTCCAGTGTTAAGTGAATAAATAATTAAATAAAAAAATAAAAAAAAAAATATTAGAATATTTGTAAAAAAATATATATAAAATTTGACAAACAAATTTCCTGGTTTGTATTTTAAGTTTGTCAACTCAATAAATGCATGTTAAAACATATCCTGTGCCCAAGGATTTGGACCATAAGAGGCCATTGTTTGTGTGTGTGTGTGTGTGTGTGTGTGTGTGTGTGTGTGTCTGTGTGTGTGTGTGTCTGTGTGTGTGTCTGTGTGTGTGTGTGTGCGCGTTTATATAACTGATTTATTGATAATTATTGACAATAAGACAAGTTAAAGTTGAAGTTGCTGGTTCTGCTGAATAATGTGTGTATTATTAAAAAAAAATGTCTATCTTATAAAAATCTCTATTTGTGTTTGTGTGGATAGAGCGTCCAGACTCCATTCAGTGAGTTGGTTGAAGAGGGGCCGCTATTCGGAGCAGGTGAGAGCACTGAGGGAGATGTACAAGCGTTCCTGTCAGAGATCAGTGAAGAAGATGTGGAGATCCTGAGACAGAGAGAAGAGGCTCTTCTGCAGATTGAGGTAAGAGATCTGTAACCACACACACTGAAGACCTGACTGCATTAATAAGCTCCACCCATCCCCTTATTATCTTCTTTTTATTACTGAGCATTTATTTTCCTAATTTAGAGAAATGAGTTACACTTTAGTTTAGGTTACAATAAATGCTATTAATAACTGGCTTAATACCTACCTAAGCATATTAACTTTGAATGATCCCATTCTGCATCCCTAATCCTACACAATCCCTAAATCTAATTCTATATTTATAACTGTTAATGAACAGCCAATTAATAGTTTATTAAGCCAGTAGTGTTAGTTATTGGTTTGTTAATACTTGAAATTGTGACCTATACTAAAGTGTTACCTAGAAATGTTATTTTTATATATGTTTTTATATATAAGATTGAATTTGCACAATGTTTAATGTGCTCAATAAAGCTTCAGATTAAAATATAGTTAACACAGTGATTTTGTGCACTGTAAAATAAAACAAAACAGCCAGTTCAGAATTTTACTGCATATAATGTCTAAGTATTTCAACAGGTTTGTACCAAATAATTGTATCTTAAAAATATATAATGTTATCCTAAAACAAAACTGAGTGCAATAATCAGGTTTGAATGAACGAACGAAAGAACAAATGAATAAATGAAAATCTTCATTAATAACGGATCAACTTCAAAATCATAACTCTTGTATACTCTGAGGTTATTGATTTTTCTGCTGTTTCTTTCTTAATGCTTCATAGTACAGATAGTTGTAGTTCTTTCCCTCATTAAACCATTTTGTACACAGTCTTTATTAGGGGTTGGTATTGTTTGGGGTTATTTCGATATTGGTGCTAAATCAATAATTTTAAAACGATTTAGGATTTTGCATTATACAATTAAGATTACATTAGCTCACTAATAACCTGTCGAAAAGCTGTCTTTAAAATCAGGGAATACCCTCTTTTTTTTTTTTTTTTTTACTTTGTTTACATGGACATCAGTAATCTAATTATTTGCCTTAATGTGAATAGGACAATAATATGATGAAATGTTTACATGAGTTGCTTTTTGAATGTTCCTTTTTGTTTTGAATGTTGTTATGATTCCGTTTTACTTGTTACAGCACATAGATCAATTAACATCATTGTCACCACGCTATCCAACGTTTTCTCCAGAGTTTTATGTAATTTTGGGTGTTTCATTTTTAATGTTTTGACTTTAACTGCATTTCAGCAGTTTCACTTTTATTTAGCAACATATTGTTCATGACCCATGACAAACTGAGGCATTGGTTGAGAATATGAAGCAAGGACTAGTGGAAGAGTGTTGTTAAAGAACCCCTTTTTTGCATTAAAAAGGTCATATTTTGGTTTTAGGGGTCTCCAACAACATGATGATATGCGTGCAAGTTCAAAAACGCTTTCATTGCCTTATAATAAGCATTTATTTTTACCCAATTATCCCAATGATTCCCATATGAATCGTTCAGCGATTCATTTGTTCCCAAACCCCTCCTAAGTGCGAAGCTAATCTGTGGTGATTGGTTCGACTGTGCTCAGCACAAGACAGACAGAAATGCCCACAATGGCTACAGTATGACGTAGCACAAAGTATGTGAGAGCCCAGTGCAGGAATACAATAAAGCAATGCAGTTAATATGCAGTCATATCACACTCCTCTTAATCCTTACCCCAAGTAATAACAACGACACGCATTCAGTATTATCCACACAGTGGCAAAATTTAAACTATTTTGAAAATTGACCGCGCCACCTGTGTGAAGGAACAGCTGATGGTGGTCATTGCAAAGGCAAACAGCAGAGGATCGCCAGTTCAGAAACGCATTTAAATCAGTAAAGGAAGAAGCACGCGTCACGTTTTTAACGTGGTTTTGGACGTGATATGTGAACAGCCCTATACAGATTTAACCTGAGAGGTACAGTACAAGCACTGATCTATAATTGATATGTGATTACAAGACGCACAGGGCGATTTCAACTTATAACACACAATTAAACACATATTTTGCAAACGACACAAAACAAGGCAACAATTTTAATGAGACTTACATGTTATAAACCGGAGGAAGAAGAAACTGGTCTATTTGAACTATAAAAGGTACTGACAAAGTCCCTGTCAAAGTCTGACAAAGTCCCATAGTCTCTGCTGCTCCTTCAATAGCAAACAGCCAACAAATACGACACTGGTGTACTTTTTAGAAAAAACTCTTTATTATCGTATATGCCTTGCTCACATATGACAATTTACATAACGATAGCAATCGTGCAGCGAGATAATGGATCATAACTACTACAGATAACAGAACAAGTCAACAAAAGGATGATTGGATTAGATGTCAGTATAAAGACGACAGCATAGACGACAGTACGGATGACAATATAACGACAGCATAGACGACTGTTAGGATGAAAGAACAGACGCCCATAAGAACAACAGCATACAACGGTAGGGTAACGGACAGTAAAGATGAATAGACAACAATAAGGACAACAGATCAGATGACTGAATATCCCATAGAATATGACAGTACAAAACAGAGAAAAACCAACTGGACGACAGATAAAGATGATATCAACAGACAACATGTACGTCAATAATGCTAACATGCGGGCAGTGAAAGTAGACAAAGACAAATGTGAAGTACATAGCTGTCATGGGAATTTTGGCACAAATGAAACCCCATACATATCCCCCATAAATGTTTAGAATTAAAAGTTTAAAGATGGTGTGACCCAACACATACCTATGTGGGCCTTTGTTGTACGCCTTGATGCCTCTTACGTCTTTGTCACTGCACCAGTGGCAATGAAATTAGGCAACGAAATTCATATGCTGACTTGTTGAGGGGCTTACCAATTACATATGTACTGTTATCATAATGGCATCAGGTTTTGGTACACAACCAAATTCTTTAATGTGCTTTGTAAATACTAACAAACAGCAAATATATTAACCAACTGAAGTGTTACTACATTTTGCAATGTTGTGATTCACCAGAAAGCTTGTTTAAATTTGTATATGGGGATAAAATAAATTAATAAATAGATAAAGAAATGGGAAAATTCCAGATCCAGTGCTCCTGAAAAGGTAGGCATACACTGACGAAGGATCAGTGGGTATTCTTAGAACACTCAAAAACAATGTAGATGTTTGTCATCAGTCTATACAGTTGTTTGGTGCCCTGCATTGTCCTTTTATTCAGAAATCCAGACACACTTGAGAAGAACAAACATGATGATTGGAGAAAATGGCACTGCATCCATACAAACAGAACCCTCTGGCCTGCATTCCTTCTGTACTCACCATCATCTTCAGCAACTGTCTTTTTTACTGAAGCTTTCAGGGCAATTTTCCTGAGACTCTGTGCTTTGGTTTATTTAGCTGTCTAGTCGCGCACGCAAACAGCAGGCTTTTCATACACCACTGCAAAACAGCATCACGTTGCTCAACTAAAGCATGTCTCGTCTGTAGCAAAACAGCTGTTTTTCTCCAGATGTGCTTTTGAACAGATGTGAACCTGTGATGATGGGGTCATTTTGTTGTTCTTTGGCATCCGTTTGGTCCAATTTCAAAGCCATTTGTTTTGGACGTGCACCTTGTGCTGGTTTTTCTTTGATCTAAGGTGTTCAAAGACAAAAGTGAATATGAAATAAATGTCAGCCCATCATGATTATGTACAGGGCTGGACAGAAAGCGACTCATGCAGATGGCATGTCAAAATGAATGGATCTTTCTTGTTTGAATAGCAGGGAGTTGAGAAACAAGAGGACCCGCTCGTCCTAATGACTGATGACAACCTTGAAAGAGCCTTGAAATTAAGATGTATGGCTTTTTTCTTCCTGAAGACCTGTCTGAAGTTCATACTAAGTCACTTGCCAATGCAGCGCCTGCATCTGGTTAACAGACAGGCATCAAACAATACCGCGTCCTGCAGCCTTCTTAATAAATTCACATTTATCACACAGACAAACCCTGAAAGGCTCAAACAAAGCTGACAGCTTATTTTAGGTATGGAGAAATTGGTGGAGTTTTAGTTTTTTCAGATGCCACATTGCAATATTTTTTTTTTTTCTGTGATTGATAAATGACAACATGTGTTGAATAGCTTTAATGAAATAATGAATCATTATAAAGTGAGGTGAATTACTTGAAAAAAAATGCTGTTTTGTATGTATATGATTTATTTGGGCTTTCATATGCCATATTTACATTATTTCGGCCAATTCAAAATTACCTTTATATTTTTATCTCAAAAATATATTTTTATATATTTACAATAAAAATAATCTATTTATACCAACAATAATTACTAGATTACCAAGAAAATTGTAATATAAAAAATATTATAATATATAAAAAGAAAAATAGAATATATGAAAAAAAAATATATATATACATACAGTTGAAGTCAGAATTATTAGCCCCCCTAAATTTTTAGACCGCTCGTTTATTGTTTCCCTAATTTCTGTTTAACGGAGAGCAGATTTTTTTCAACACATTTATAAACATAAAAGTTTTAATAACTAATTTCTAATTACTGATTTATTTTATCTTTGCCATGATAACTGTAAATAATATTTTACTAGATATTTTTCAAGACACTTCTATACAGCTTATAGTGACATTTAAAGGATTAACTGGGTTAATTAGGTTACCTAGGCAGGTAAGGGTAATTGGGCAAGTTATTGTATAACAGAGGTTTGTTCTGTTGACTATCGAGAAAAAATATAGCTTAAAAGGGCTAATATTTTGTGCTTAAAATGGTGTTAAAAAAATTTTAAAACTGCTTTTATTCTAGCCGAAATAAAACAAATAAGAGTTTCTCCAGAAGAAAACTTATTATCAGACATACTGTAATAATTTCCTTGCTCTGTCTGTTAAAAAACATCTGAAAAATATTTAAAAAGGAAGAAAAAATGTGAAGGGGGCTAATAATTCTGACTTCAACTGTATATATATTTCTGTGTGGAGTTTATGTTCTCCCGGTGTTTGCGTGGGTTTCTTCTGGGTGGTCCCCCACAAACAAACAAATTGTAGGTGAAAATATGTGCTGTAGGTGAATTAGGTAAGCTAAATTGTAGTTTATGTGTGTAAATGAGTGTGGTGTATGGGTGTTTTCCTGTGATGGGTTGCAGTTGGAAGAGAATCCGCTGTGTAAAACATATGCCGGATAAGTTGGCGGTTCATTCCGCTGTGGCGACCCCAAATTATAAAATGATAAATAATAAAATGAATGAATGAATATATTTATATAAAAAGGTACATTTTCTATGGCGTCAAAACCAGCTAAATTCACTTTTCACGCTTTTTTGTTGTTGCAAAAAACTCAAAATCCACCTATTGGCACAAGACAAAATCCACCTATTGGGACAATCACTAAAGATGCATTTACATATTATTTTACCAAACGTAAAACACATTACACAAACCATCTAAAATTAAAAATACATAAATCTGTTAATTGTGGTGGTTCATTCCGATGACTGTAAATAATATTTGACTAGATGTTTTTCAAGACACTTCTAAACAGCTTAAAGTGACATTTAAAGGCCTAACTAAACTAATTAGGTTAACCAGGCAGGTTTGAGTAATTACACAAGTTATTGTATAACGATGGTTTGTTCTGTAGACCATAGAAAGTATATATAGCTTGAAGGGGCTAATAAGTTTGACCTTAAAATGGTTTTTAAAAAAATAAAAACTGCTTTTATTCTAGCCAAAAAAAAAAAAAAAAAAAAAAAAAATATATATATATATATATATATATATATATATATATATATATATATATATATATATATATATATATATTCATACATTCATTTTCTTTTCGCTTAGTTTCTTTCGCCACAGCAGAATGAACCGCCAACTTATCCATCACATCTTTTATTCAGCGGCCCTTCCAGCTGCAACTCATCTCTAGGAAGCATCTGTACCCACTCATACAGTATGGACAATTTAGCCTACCCAATTCACCTGTACCACATGACTTTGGATTGTGGGAAAAACCGGAGAACCCGAAGGAAACACACAAGAACGCAAAGAGAACATGCAAACCACACAGATACGCCAACTATATTATAAATATATTTAATAAATAAAAAATATTTTTACATATTTACAATATATTGTCATATTCACAAGAAATGTTTTCAGTCATCTTTGAGTGAAAATTATGGAATTAAAAAATATCAATAAATCTTTTTTTTTTTTTTGTTGAATAATATGCTGCATTTTATAGAACCATTTGAGTTTTCGTGTTACATAGTTCACAATCTTACTATTTTTACCAGTTCAACAATTTATTATTATTTTGTTAAAGGATCACACACAAGAAAATATCACAACAAATAAATATATAATGATAACTGTTAGAAAGCCTGTCCTAGGAACTTAAATTAGTAATTGTTTCCCGCACGGACATTTTTACATGACGCACACCAGTACGGACTGAATGCCATTCACTGTTTATGCCGCAGGTTATGCTCTGCAAATGCGTTTATGTTATACAAGTGAGTACATATATATGTTTGATTCTGATTATTATATGTCATGTATGTTATTGGTCACTTTCAGTGTTTTTGACGATCGTTTTTCCCGTTAATTTCGGCCGTAATTTGCCGATCTAATTTGCTGAGTCATCGCCCTCCACACTAATGCTACGTGCGAATGCGGCCAGTGTTTGTTTACATAACGATTTATAGTGCCCTGTTATTTAGTTTACTGTTGTATTTCAGTTCATTTCATTGCTATAACAGGCGGAAATACAGACTGTATCATGTATATCTTGTATTGTGTTAGTTAATATTTCTCATTGTGTTAGTACAATAAGACACAAATGTTAGATGAATATTTTTTGGTAAATTATTTCTCTTTATTTCCTTTTGTAGACCATACCCACACATTCTTTGCAATATCTCCAGTGCATACCTCAGCTGCATATTCAGGACAGAAATAAATGCTCATCAGAAAGAATCTCTTCTCCACTCTTGATTTTCTAACCGAAATCAGATCCATATTTGGCCGCCTTAGCCAGCTAAAAATCTTGAATGTAGTGGGACTTCACTACATTTTATGGTCCTTCGAGCCGGATGAGAGCAATAATACACCAATATGGATCCAGCAAATGATGACGCATCAGAGACAATGGAAAGACCACGACGTAAGACTCATCTCCCTTCTCATCTGGACGATTATGAGGTTGGCTATCGACCCACTGAGGACCCTCCTCCCAAAGCTTCTTCCCACTGTCCCAGTAAGTCAAGAAGCAGCTCGAGGAAAACGTCTCATAGCGGTGTAAGCTCTCACTCCAGGACAAGTAGGCGATCTGTCACCTCCACAGGCGTTTATCTTCCACCTGAGCTCTCCAGCGTTCAGACTGCTATATTGGAGGAGAAGATTAAACAAAGGCAGTTAGACAGTCTTCGTCAGCAGGTTGCAGAGGACTCATTGGCTGATGTAGAATACCAGCGGCTACAGGCACAAGCTAAAGAAGCCCAGCAAGTTCAAGAGGAAGCTCTCAGAGCAAAGGAAACCTTATCAAAGCAGCTAGAAAGACAGCGTAAGCTGCAACAAGCAGAAACTGAGCTTGAGGTAGCTAAGCTTGTGTCCTCTATGCTTGTTAAAGACTCTGGTTCGACCACTCCTATCCATACAAGCTCACCCGGCAACCATTTGTCTCTATCTCAGCCTGTATGTGTCGATCAAGCCATAAGTTCATCTCATCTCTCATCCTCTTTCCAGCAGCCCGCTACTCAGTCACCCGCTGTGACGTCAACAATACAGACTTGTCATGCAGAGCAGGGTATTTCTGATGACTCCTGGGTGTCTCAGCCATCATTTAGACCTCTGCAATTGACAGCTGAGTCTAAAGGTGCACCATTTACTGCAGTGCCACAAGGAGGCTCATCGTCGGTCTCTAAGGTATCTCAGACTGCCCCTATAACTATGCCAGTTCGAACTGTGTTATCTGCAACAAATATGATATCCCAACCACATTTGAGAGCTCCAGTCATGTCCACTTCTGCACTTCCCTTACATACAAGCATGCAGTCTATGCCACCACCGCCTATCACAGCCACCCCGCAGCTGGCTACATCATATACTGTACCACAAACTGTAATACCTCCAGTGACAGCACATGCACGTCTGTTACAGCCTCCAATCACCAGCCACCCGCCACCTGTTTTGCAACCTACCAGCCTTAGCTATGTGCAGCCACCACCATTCATGCACAACAGTCACCCTGCACATATGGGTACAGAGCTACTGTTTGCATCGGCCTACGGCATCCCACAGCCTAAGTTACCAGTGTTTGAAAGTGGTAACGAGAGTGACTTTGCCCTGCTAAAATTAGCGTTGGACAATTTGTTGACTAATCACAACCATCTCAGTGAGCAATACAAGTACCATGTCTTATTAAGCCACTTAAAACTTCCCAGTGCTCAGCAGCTGGCCAAAGCCTACATGTATCATCCTCGTCCTTATTCAGCTGCACTACAGGCTCTTCAAGACAAGTATGGCCAGCCGCGACAGCTTGTCCAGTCAGAGCTGGGTGTAATGATGAACACTCCACCAATCAGAATGGGTGATGCGAATGCTTTTGATAACTTTGCCTTATCTGTTCAGTCGTTGGTGGGCATGCTAAGGACACTTGAGGGCCAGAATGGTTACGAGCTCATGTGTGGCTCTCACGTCGATCGCCTGTTAAGTAAACTGCCATCTGCCTATCGTGATGGTTTTGTTGAATACTGCCTGAGCAGGGGGATTCTCCAAACAGGTACCGATAGGACCTACACACTTCCTGATCTAGCCACCTGGTTAGAGATCAAATCTCAAGCAAAACGCATCTCCAATCGAGCCGCAACTTTGTTCCAGAGTGAACTATCCAAGCCTCATGGTAGGGTCACAGTGTCTACTCGCCCGAAGGAGCGGGCAACACCAGTACTCTTGGCCAATGAGAGGGGCACACCTCCCCCTGGATTTGCCGCCCAGAAACCCAATACAAAGCTGAAACCATACTGCCCCCATTGTGACAACAGGGACCATTACCTCAACTCTTGTGACCAGTTCAAGAAGTTGACCTCGGATCAAATTGTCACTTGGATTAAAGAGGGAAACCGTTGCTGGAGATGTGGCAGGACACATGCAGTAGAGACCTGTAACCTTAAGCGCCCATGTAAGGTCTGCAAAGAACTTCACCTCATAGTTCTACATAACACTATTAATGACACGTCCAAGGCTGTACTTATGGTGAGCATGCCGTCCACCAGGGTTTACCTCGACAGACCTAACCGTTCACCAAAGGTTATGTTGAAAGTAGTTAAGGTCCTTCTCCACCATGGCCACCGCACTATGGAAACTCATGCAGTCCTTGACGACGGGTCAGAGAGGACAATAGTATTACAGCCAGCAGTACGGCAGCTAAAGTTAACCGGGACCACTGAATTGCTTCCCCTACAGACAATTCAACAGTGCCACACAGAGCTGGAAGGGCGGTCAATCTCCTTTGAGGTGTCCTCTGTCACAAAGCCCATGGTAAAGTTTGCTATATGCAACGCATTCACTGCAACCGGTTTGTGCCTAGCAGAGCACAACTACCCAGTAACTGCTCTCCAGAATGCCCATCGACACTTGAAGGATCTGCCACTGCCTCCCGTGGACAGGGTAAAGCCACTGCTCCTTATTGGATCTGACAATCCTCACCTTCTGACACCCATCCAGCCTGTCTGCGAAGGCCCAGTAGGGGGGCCCATTGCGGTCTGCACGCAACTCGGATGGTGTCTCCAAGGCCCGATGAGTCCTATGCAGTCCTCACGAGGAAAGCAGCAATGTCTTAACATCATGACAGCTCCAGCCCGTGATGAACTTATCCATCATGTAGAAAGACTCTGGCAAGTTGACACCCTTCCGTACAATGAGAAAATAATCACCAGGTCTAAGCAAGATAAGGAAGCTTACAACATGCTTCAGGATTCTACCATCAGAGTAAATGTGGATGGTGTTCAACGCTACGCTACACCCCTGCTGAGACGGACACCTGTGAGTTTGCTCCATGCAGAAAAGGATGCAGTTCTACCCAGTTTACGCAGCACAGAGCGCCGGCTGTCACGGGATCCGGAGAGGGCTAAAGCATACTGCACTGAGATCCAGAAGTTGGAGGCAGCTGGATATGTTGCCAAGATAACTGCGGAGGAAGCCAACAAGAGTAACGAGTCTTGGTATATTCCGCATCACGTTGTACATCACAACAACAAAGACCGGATTGTCTTTAACTGTTCCTTTCAACATCAAGGACAGTCATTGAACAGTCAGCTACTGCCTGGACCAACTTTGGGACCATCGTTATTGGGAGTCCTCCTGAGATTCCGGCAGCATGCTGTTGCTGTAAGCGGTGACATAAAAGGCATGTTCCACCAGGTACGTCTGCTGCCCAAAGACAAACAGGTGCTTCGTTTCCTATGGAGGGACATGTGCAGGGATAGAGAGCCCGATATATACGAATGGCAGGTGCTTCCCTTCGGAACTACCTGTAGTCCATGTTGCGCCATCTTTGCCCTCCAACACCATGCACAAGGACACAAAGGTGACATGCCTAAGTTGGTTAACATAGTGGAGAACTCCTTTTATGTTGATAACTGTCTTTACAGCACACCAACAGCCAAGGAAGCTAAGGACGTTGTGGATGGACTGCGTCAGTTGCTGGCTGAGGGAGGCTTTGATTTAAGACAGTGGGCCTGTAATGTACCATCTGTGATCCAGCATCTTCCCGCAGAGGCCTTGTCTACCAACAGTGAACGATGGTTAACCAAAGCTAGTACAGACCTGCAAGAACCCACTCTTGGCCTACGGTGGAATTGTCTCAATGATTCTCTGGGTTACAATTTACGTTCTGCAGAGCCATTGGAGCCTACTATGAGGAACATGTACAAGACATTGGCCAGTCAGTATGATCCTTTAGGATTTATTATCCCGTTCACTACAAGGGCTAAAGTCCTCATTCAGGACCTTTGGAAGCAAAACTTGGGCTGGGATGATCTGATTGAGCCTGCACAGCTGAGGAATAAGTGGTTAACCTGGGTAGGAGAAATTCCAACACTCCTTCAGTTGCAGTTCCCTCGACTATACACACCAGTCTGGCCTGATAATCCTCCTGTCACTCGAGAGCTACACATCTTTTGTGACGCATCTGAAAGAGCGTATGGGTCAGTGGCTTATTTACGTGCTTCTGATGATCAAGGACATGTTGCCGTCACCTTTGTCTTGGCTCGATCGAGAGTGGCCCCCAGAAAATGCCTATCCATGCCTCGTTTGGAGCTAAGTGCAGCACTGACCGGCGCCCAGTTAGCCCAAGTAATACAAAATGAGTTAACTCTTCCCATCGATTCAGTCACTCTCTGGTCTGACTCAACAACTGTGCTGTACTGGTTGACCGCAGAGTCTTGCCGCTACAAGGTGTTTGTTGGAGGACGTGTAGCTGAAATACAGACTCTCACTGAGACAGCTGAATGGAGGTATGTTGATTCGGCCAACAACCCGGCTGACCATATCACAAGGGGTCTAACTTTAGCGGAGCTAACAGGCCCTCACCAATGGAATTCAGGACCATCCTTTCTCCTTAAATCCGTTGACCAATGGCCATCCATTCCCAAGCTAGCGGTAGAACCAGAACTCAGTGAATTAAAGAAAGCTGCCTTCGTTGGTACTATTTCAGTGAATAACCCTTCACTCCCAGACCCAACTCAGTTCTCTACATGGCAAGAACTTGTCCAGGCCACTGTTAGGTCCCTGCACGGGGCGGCTATTGCTGATAATAACTTCTCTAGTGACGCAGCTGACTATATTGAAGCTGAGAAACTCCTCCTGGTACAGGCTCAAAGTGACTCGTTCCCATACGAGGTCAAGGCTCTGAAGACTGCCCAATCTCTACCTTCTGACAGTCGTTTGATCTCTCTTGCCCCTGAGTTTGATGAAGCCACAGGTCTCATCCGAGTAGGTGGAAGATTACGTCGGACTGACAGCCTAGACTTGGATTCTATCCACCCAATTGTGTTGGATCCTGGCCACCCTGTCACCAAGCTGTTAATTAAGGAGACAGATCAGCGACTCCTTCACCCAGGCTCCGAACGGGTCCTAGCTGAACTGCGCCGCCAGTATTGGGTATTGAGAGGCAGAGAAGCAATTCGGAAACATCAGCACACATGTAGAGACTGTCAGTTCTGGCGTGCTAAACCTCAGACACCCCAAATGGCTGATCTTCCATCCAGCAGACTGCAACTTTACAAACCCCCGTTCTACTCTACAGGGGTAGATTGCTTTGGCCCCTTCACGGTTAAAGTTGGTCGTCGCCAAGAGAAGAGGTGGGGAGTCCTCTATAAATGTATGACAACCAGGTGCGTGCATCTAGATCTACTGGAACAACTAGACACTGATGCATTTCTGCTTTCTCTGCGTCGCTTCATCGCAAGACGAGGCAAGCCCATGGAATTGCTATGTGACAATGGCACTAACTTCGTTGGAGGGGATCGAGAATTACGAGAGACCTTCAATGCCATGGCACCAAAGCTGCAGGAGCAGCTTGCGGAGCAAAGGATTCGATTTCGCTTTAACCCACCAAGTGCTCCTCATTTCGGGGGAACCTGGGAGCGTGAGGTCAAATCGGTGAAGTCCGCTTTACGTGTCATCCTGCGAGAGCAGTCAGTGCCAGAGGCAGTATTGCAAACCCTGTTAGTGGAGGTGGAAGGCATTCTGAATTCCAAGCCACTTGGCTACATATCCTCTGACGTTGCAGACTTGGACCCAGTGACTCCCAACCTGCTCCTTATGGGCCGACGTGATGCCTCACTTCCTCAGGTTCTGTATGACTCCAACAACTTGCTCGGCAGACGCAGATGGAGACATAGCCAGGTGTTGGCTGATAATTTCTGGACTGCCTTCATCCGCCATCATCTCCCAAGTTTACAGGATCGCCAGAAGTGGAGGAAGGATGGCAAGGAACTTACCGTGGGCCAAGTAGTTCTTATTGTTGATCCACAACTCCCACGTGCTTTATGGCCTGTAGGAACAGTGTCTGAAACGTTACCTGGAGCTGACGGTAAAATTCGTACCGTTAGAGTTAAAGTTAAGGAAAAAACTTACACTCGTCCAGTTGTGCGATTAATTCCCCTTCCGCACCTAGAGGATAATGTTCCTGACACGGCAGACAAACTTTCTTAAAATGTACAATTATCCTGACAGATAATTGGGGGCGGCTGTGTTAGAAAGCCTGTCCTAGGAACTTAAATTAGTAATTGTTTCCCGCACGGACATTTTTACATGACGCACACCAGTACGGACTGAATGCCATTCACTGTTTATGCCGCAGGTTATGCTCTGCAAATGCGTTTATGTTATACAAGTGAGTACATATATATGTTTGATTCTGATTATTATATGTCATGTATGTTATTGGTCACTTTCAGTGTTTTTGACGATCGTTTTTCCCGTTAATTTCGGCCGTAATTTGCCGATCTAATTTGCTGAGTCATCGCCCTCCACACTAATGCTACGTGCGAATGCGGCCAGTGTTTGTTTACATAACGATTTATAGTGCCCTGTTATTTAGTTTACTGTTGTATTTCAGTTCATTTCATTGCTATAACAGGCGGAAATACAGACTGTATCATGTATATCTTGTATTGTGTTAGTTAATATTTCTCATTGTGTTAGTACAATAAGACACAAATGTTAGATGAATATTTTTTGGTAAATTATTTCTCTTTATTTCCTTTTGTAGACCATACCCACACATTCTTTGCAATATCTCCAGTGCATACCTCAGCTGCATATTCAGGACAGAAATAAATGCTCATCAGAAAGAATCTCTTCTCCACTCTTGATTTTCTAACCGAAATCAGATCCATATTTGGCCGCCTTAGCCAGCTAAAAATCTTGAATGTAGTGGGACTTCACTACAATAACATTAAAGAAAATAAACGAAAATGGGTAAACTATATATTTATTTTACTGTAAACTAACTGTACATTTTTACATCTTTTCTTTAAACACTATCGCTATCAAGCTTTGATTTTGACACAATAACAAGTAATTACAATTATATATGTAAATTAGACATTATTTTACAGATATAAATAATTGCACATTATTGTACTGTCACTTATTTATTTACTTTCAAATAGGTCATAATATCAAATGTGCAAATGCCTTGCTTCACTCTAAAACCAGGAGCAGAATAATTTATTTAAATAAATTACGACCTGTGCGACATGACAATCGCCCAAAGCCATATAGCAATACAGATTTTATTTTAGTATACTATGCAGCCCTTTTCTGCATTGACTTGTTCTTCAAGAGCTCTGACTCAGAAACGTCTCTGGCCCCGGGCCCATCCGAGCTGATCATATATGACAATGTGCTTTTCCTGTCTAGCATCTTCCCAACCCGAACCTTCAGCCTCACCCGTGCCTCCTCCTCATGCAACTCCGCTCAAGTGTATCTCTCTCTCTTCATCCATTTATCTCTCTCTTCTGCACTGTTAGATAGATTCCCAAGGGAAATGGAGAAGATGGAATGTCTGTTATCCGTGTAAAGTACAATCAGCCCCCCACCCAATCTCTCTTTTTTCTCTTTCTAAAAGCTGATCTGTTCTACTAAGGAGTTAGGATTTAAGGTCCTTGCACACGGAGTCAAAAAATATTTGAATGGAGGTCTTTGCTTATACATGTGTGTATGTGTGTGTTTACATGGTTGAGTCCAATGCATATTAATTCATATGTTGTCAAAAATAGGAAATGGAGTCTTCAACATTAAGGATTATTTTGTTGAGCTCTGTTAAAAAAAAAAAAAAAAAGATAGAAATAGAAAATAGGAATGTAAAGAAAATAGAAATATTAGGTCCATCCAATCCTGAGATTGCAGAGAGAGAAAGCAGAGTTTCATATCAGTGAGCTGTGTGATTATCCAAACGACTCAAAGTGTACTCAGTGGCTCAATTTGATGCTTTACTAGTGATTCCGGAGCCACACATTAAAGAGAAGACTACCCATTTATGCGATTAATTCTAAACAAAGACTGGCAGTATATCTAAGGTATGCAAATAGACACAAACATAGCCACAGCCATATTACTCTGCAGCCCAAGAAGGGTTAAATTTGTGAGACCACCTGGGAAAACTGTTGTAAGTGGTGTTAGTAAGGCCAGTAAGGTGTGCTCACCTTCTGATCTATGTGGGTTTTAATGTCCCAATTTAGTGACAGGGACACTATACTGTCAGTGAGCACCACCCTTCAGATGAGACAGTAAACCCATGAGACATTAAACCCACCACCCATCAGATGAGAGGTTTAAGCACATTTTGTAAATAGTAGGGATGTGACACCAGTGCCCTGGCCATATTCCGTCCTTCAGGCCTTACCCATCATGGCCTCCCTGGCCATATTCTGTCCATCAGGCCTTACCCATCATGTCCTCCCAATCATCCCCATCCGCTGAATTGGCTCTACCACTAACTCTTGGTTTGAATCCTGTCGTATCATCCATATGTGGCATCACTCAGGTGGTGGGGAAGAGAACCCCCCCTTATATGATTCTAAAGTGTTTTGGGTGTATGGAAATAACAATCTAAAAGTGTTAAATACATGCATTCATTTACATGCAGAGTGTGTATTCAGAAATGTGCACACTAGGCATTGAAACAATTATGGTTTTGACATTTGCTTGTATGTTTTGAATAGTCTAAACATGACAATATAAGTACACCCCCCACAAATATCTGCTTTAAATTAATGTTTTCCATAGGATGGTTTATTATCTTTGTGCATATACATTAGTTTAGTCAGTACTGAAGCCAAATCTGGAGGTAATCCGACAAAATAACTTAATATAATGGTTAAGAAATTAGCACAGCCAAATTTATATGTTAGAGAAAATATTTACATTTAAAAAGATAACAACAAAACGAAACAAAATAAATACAGTTTTGGTGGAAAGTTATAGTATGTAATTTATATTTTACAATATTTTGCAGGAATTTTAATGTGTTATCTTTCCATTCTAAAGATATGATTAAAATATTATTTTAATATATCTGTTTATTAAATCTGTTTTGTTCAAATGCACAAATATATATATATATATATATATATATATATATATATATATATATATATATATATATATATGTATGTATGTATGTATGTATGTATGTATGTATGTATGTATGTATGTATGTATGTATGTATGTATGTATGTATGCATATATATATATATATATATTTATTGAGAAATGGATAAAAAATATTAAAATAAAAAAAATATTCATTTTCAAAATGGGATGTACTCCTATATGCTGAGCACTGTATATTTTGGAGACATTGTTGTAAAGTAGGGATGCACCAAAATGAAAATTCTGGGGCAAAACCGAATATTCTGGATGCACTTGGCCAAAAACCTAAACCGGATATGCAGGTGGAATAATAACTTTTAGTAGTTATTTATTATTTCATTAAATAATACAATTTTATATTTTAAATACATTTTTAAATGTAATATCTTATTAAATTTAACTTATTGATTTTAAAAGCCCAAGATAAGTGAATGAGTGGAGAGGCATAATTCTGACAGCATCGTAGTGCTATAGTAGCAGCAAAAAGTGTATAGAAATGTCAAAATGTAGAAATCGCCTTGTTATTTGAGAAGACTTTAATTTTCCCCTGAGCATGTGTGGCACATGTATAGATACTCAAGCTATAAACTTTGACCATGAAATACACGCAAGCTAGATGACAGTGTGCTTCACTGCTTTTATCGTTTGCGAGGCACAAGCCATTGAAAATAATGGGTTTCATAGCGCATTGCTTTCTGTGTCCTTTTGTCACACCACAATGGAATTTTTGGTAGATAAGATTAGGGAACCAAAAATTCAGTCCATCCCATGGTGTAAATATGATTGACTTAACAGGAGGTTATTTTTTTAACGTGCAAAAGTTTCTGACAAGTATTTTAGATTCAGTGTGCAAGGACCTTTGGTGACTTGTGTGCTCAGGCGAGCCCTTCTCTGGAGAGCCATGCTAAGGCACGGACACATACAAGCCTGACAGAGGACGAGAAGGTTATTCCTCATGCTGTTATGGATTCTCCATCTTGATTTTCTATGAGTCGACCCACAAGGGTAATGAACTGTATTTCTGGGATGACTAATTCGATTTAGATTCACCCAATATTACGGTGAAACAAGGGGAGGAGCTAGACTCCGCCTCTCCCCCGTTGATGACATCAACCCCAGACGCACCTCTCTGACACTTTCACACTGACCATTATTTCATCAAAATGAATTTGTTTTAAAAAAAAGGAAAACATAGGGCACGACAAAGGACAACTTTCAAGGGGAATCTGAATGCAACACCTGGCCCATCCAGGAGAAAAAATACAGACACGTGTCTCCCCTGCAAATGTGTCCAGTGCATCTTTTTTTGCCCTTCAGATGGAAGTTTTAGAGCAGAGTTGAGCTCCAGTACTGTAACACAATGATAATGGCAGACAGTTGTGGCTGGCCTGTATGTCATTGTTAGTCATTCTCTACAAAATGCACAACTCTGGATTGAAAATGTCTGCTTAGAAGATTGCACATATATTTTAGAGGAGACTAAACCTGTAGGGCAAATAAAGGACATGGTTTCCATCAGTGAGATTGAATTGAGGGCCAAGAGATTCGACACTGTGCTTAAGTTAAATATGTTAATTAACTATAAAAAGTAATGATTAAAAGAAATCATATTACAAATTACTACTTTAGTACTATTATGTTTCAGATATTATTTGGGTTTTTAGATACTATTTAGTCCTCTAGTATTATTTATTTATTTATTTATTTATTTATTTAAATTAACTTGTTTCTGATTTTTTTTTTCACTTTGAATGTAATGTGTGTCAGCATTTATTATTATTATTAATAATAATAATAATAATCATATTTAATAATCATATTTTTAAATGTTTGTAATATTTGTTTTAGTTTATTAAAATATTATTAAAATTAGCAATTGTAAATTTTTAATGGTCTTAGTTGAATTTAACCACATTGTTGCCAAGCAGTGTCAACTCATCCTAGCTCATTTATTAATACTGTAAATATACAATTTATGAATAAATTTTACTGTTTAGAATGTTTTGTGTTTAACTGAAGTGTTACATAAGAGGGAGTATTTCCTCCGATTATTAATGATCAGATTTGGACTTAGACTTAATTAATAATCTTTGGAATAAAAAAGACAGATATTTTGAAAAAAAGTACAGTTAGTATTTTTTTTTTTATTTGCAGAATTGTCCAAAATTTTGATATCACTACTTTTGATGTATTTATTATTATTATTATTATTATTATTATTATTATTATTAGTCTGCCGTTAATAAATGTTTATTATATATGATAATAATAATAATAATAATAATAATAACAATTATTATTATTATTATTATTATTATTATTATTATTTCTTCTTATTATTATATTAATAATAATAATAATAATAATAATAATAATAATAATTATTATTCTTGTTATTATACTACTACTACTACTACTACTACTACTAATAATAATAATAATAATAATAATAATAATAATAATTAATATTATATATGAACATGTAATATGATATATGGACTAGGGTTGTAACGGTATGAATTTTTTACGGTATGATAATCGTCTAAAACAATACCACGGTTTGACGGTTTCGCGGTATACGGTATTAAATAGTAATTCTCATAGCAAAGACCCTGAAAAGAATAAGAACACGTTTTCTGACTGAACAAAGGTTTTATTTCAACAAACTTTTGAAAGAACCATTTTAATAGAACTATA